ACTTTTAATTGTCCAAGTCCTGCAGACATTTAAAACATGGATAGAAATGTCAAGTTTAATACAGTAAGTCTAACTACTTTTCAGGTGGAAATTTGAGCAAACAAGAAAACAATAGTGCCCTAAATGATATCGGACATGAAAAGATCAAATTTGGAAACCTTCCCAAGAAATCCTAATAAAGTAAAAAATTATTCAACTAAATTTTAATTTTGGCTACTTACCAATTCCTTGTAATACCAAAGACTTTCTAAAATTTAGACACTCTTAAAAGTTCTAAGAGGCACAAGATTTCATTTCTGCTCATATTTTCACAAGTTGAAGATTGTAGAAAAATATCAAAGAAAATGTTATTTTTGTTAACACTTTCTTCATTTTTATGAAAGGATGGATGTACAGAATGAATAAAGTTTACTTTAATGTCTGTTACTTTTTTTTTTTTTTCTTTTTAAATAAATATATATAAAATCTTTTAGGAAAAATTAAAATCCCATTTTAAATTTATGGAATTTAAGTTTGTCTTATTTTTTGCAGGGCCTTAAAGATCTCTACATTATCAAGGCTTTGTCAGTTTTCCATGATTAATTTTATAACAGTAAGTGGTGGTGGGGAGGTGAATTAAACAAAAATATGACAGCTAATTACTTTTGCATCCATTATGCTGCTAAGATTGACATCTTGTATAGATTTCCTCATTGGGTATTCATGTATTAGATTGTCAGATAAATTTGTTAGTTGCTTCCCCTCCCCCAATATTATTTGAATTAATCTGCAAAATATTTTTATTGTAGTATTTTTTGTAACTCTTCCACTACAACTTTTGTTTATTGGAGCAATCCAACTTAAATGATAGTGTTGAAGAAGCACACCATCAGTTCTACAACACACTACATTCTAGTGGATTCAGATCACTTTTTTCTTTTTTTGGTGGGGTGCACTTTCCCACAGACTGTGGGGCATTTTATTCTACAACATGGTGTTGAAAACGTGGCTCGATAAATTCTTAAAGTCAAAACCCAGTGATTTCTATCACCAAGGCATTGACAAACTAGTGGAATGTTGACAAGCTGTAAACTGATGCAGAATATATTGATGGACTCATTGAAATTTAATATTAGAATTAAAATAAATGGAGGAAAAAAAAAATATGAATAAATTTATCTGATAATATATACAAACACTAACCAAATTCTACCTGAATTTGTAAGATGATGTATTTCTAATCAGTATTTTATTTACATCCAGACTAATGTCTGAATCTTCTTATACCATTTTGGTTGTGACCTCTAACCTTTTTCAGGTGTCTGTCAATCCAGGTCACCTTCAGGAAATTTCAAACTGAACCCATTATTTAGTCTACAGGATTAGATTGTTCCCATTCTGCTGTTCATGTCTATGGAGAGCTAATGTTTGCTCTTTTTGAATGCTACAGTTACTGCTGTTTCCGCCGAGTCTAAATCTGAACTACGTAGCCCAAGGATTGAACTTGCAATTACTATGCCACCAAATTCACAAATCAATACTTGTCCAATATTGTGTAAAGAAAAAAAAAAAGTATTTTAAATAAAATTTTATTACTAAAAAGGGGATTTGATTAATTTAATTCATTTACATCCATTAAATTCAGTCATCCTGTTAAAGTAAATAATGCTTTTCATAAAATAAACATTCTACAGTTTTCAAGTTTAATTTTACTGCAATAAACCTTGGACAGAAGAAATTATTTTTGATATACGAAACTAGTTTAATTCAGTTAAGTTGCAAAAAAGAATTTTTCTTTATAAAATGATCTCCCTTAGATTTTCAATTATCATTGGCTTCTTGTCCAAATTGATATTTGACTATTGATGGCAACAAGAAATTTTTTTTTTTTTTAAAAATTCATTATTTGATTGCATTTAACTCATTTACATTCCATGCAAATTTTTTTTAAATATGAAGTGGATTTTTAATTTAAAAAAAAAAAAAAAAATTCATGATTATGTGAACTTCCAAAAAAAAAAAAAAAATAAGCTGCTTTAAAAGTAATGCCTCCTCATGTTGATCCATGTCAGATGCTACCAAACCTCCCCTCATCCACACAAGCCTTGTTTTACCTTGTTACAGATAGCAATCTGACAAAATGGCATCAGACATGAAAGTACATAGGAAGCAGAAGTGTACAACTGAATTCTTCCATGTGGGATTGCACCCATTGACACTTGCTGAACATTATAGAAACCAATTACTGGATGTGAGCATATTTTACACAATGCATTTCAGCAGTGGCAACAGTGATGAATCAAACAACCAATATTTTAGGCAGTCCTGAATACATAGACAAATTTGTAGTTTTCATGAAAAGAGGAATACTTTCATCATATTTATTTTTTATTGCATCATCTAACCTGGTGGGATGGGCTTCACTAGGTTTACCTGCCCAAGACATGCTATGTATGTATGAATGAATACCTCTCCAACTTTTAACACATTAGCATAAAACCAAGATAGGTAAAAGGAGTTCCTCAGCAAACTAACTACACCTGGTCATGGGACAGATGGTTTAGTACAATTTAGTTTAAAAAAGAAAAAAATAATTTTATATAAATCACTCTAAATTTACATTTAAAAAAAAAAAAAACCTGAACAAGTGTGTTTGGAATTTGAGGAAAACAAGTGCTAAAAACTTTTACATGAAAGTTTATTCAACTATATATCCAGGGAGATAAAGTACTTGTAAAAACACAAATTCAAAGAGATGGAAGACCAAAAACAATTGTTCTTGATATTTGTTTTTATTTCATATGCATTCTGTCAATCAAAAACTTGCTTTTTTTTTTTTTTTTACTCTCCAGTATTTTTTTTAAAAATTTGATTTTTATGTCTCCATTTGCTTTAACTTTTCAAAGCGAGTAGTTTAGTAAAAATCAAATCTTCCTTCTGTGCCAGCAAAGTTACAAATACATTTTAGCCTCTCCACAACATAAAGGCAATGTAACATTTTATCATAGGCTTAGACATGAGTGCTTTGCTAAATATCACAGGGTTTCTTTTCATGTTAGCAAAAATGAGAAACTTGAATAAAATCAGTGCAATAAAATATCAAGTAGCCTCAATCATTTTTTGTCTTCATAACACTCCCCCCCACACACACCTTTTGTCCCATGCTGAAACATAAATATCTGACAAAAATAAAACAATTTTGTCTACAATCATTAAATGAGAATTGAATGCTGTTTTGATCTTTCTATCTCAACTGAATACCAGGATTCATTTACTTAACTAATTATTTGAATCCTGAAATTATTCAATTTCTAACCATATGAAATCTTTTTCCTCCATAAATACAAGAGGATTGACTTATTCTTGTGTTACATAAGCTCATAAGCTTGGAGTGAAACAAAAGGTCATATCTTCAAAGGAAGAGCATATTTCTGCACAAAAATTTTAGTACAATTCTAACTTTTTGTTTACACAGGCTTACAAAAGCTACTTATCCTAAAGGGGAATTTATTTTGAGTAAATGAATGAAATATCCATATTACACCTGCCCCCATTTCTTATAGCCTTAGTGAATTCACAGCCATACCTACAGAGAATATCTAAACAAGCACATGGACTACAGTTAACAAAAGGAAAAAAAATCTGCTTTATAGATTGAGGCAAACATGGTGGATTTTTTTTTTTTTTTTTTTTTTTTTAGAAAATTAATGATACTAGAAAGAAGAAGAGGAGGAAGTAAAAGAATTAGTTAAAAAATAAAAGATTATTGAAGGAGACTTGATCAGATTTCTTTTTCCAAAGTGAAGTGGTAATGTGCCTCATCGACTTTGAAACCCTTGACTGTGTAGCCTTTATTTCAATGTTCTAATCATTGGCCTATGTCCACAGTTAATCAAAATGAAGTTTCAAATAAAATAAGTTTGTTATATTCTTCTCTTCAAATAGTTTTAAAATGCTGGCATTTCCTAAGCTTAAGGATCAAATGCACAACAGTTGTAATGGTCTGCAATATTAATTTGTTAACCATTGCTCTGGTGTAGTATTCAATAGTTAAAAATATTTTTTGGAATAATTGCTTTTAAACAGCCTTTTTAGACAAAAAGGGAAAAAATCATCATTGCATTCACAAGTGGAAAACCACAATGAATTGTCATAAAGAGAAAAATTCAAAAACGTGAAGAAGCACCAATGTCAGGGCTTTTTACACTTTATCAAAACCACCCTCCCTAACTGAAAAGGAAAGTATGGGGATAAAAAGTATATCAGCAAAATATACTGGAATAGTTTAATGATTTCAGTTTCTGCAGGATCACGTAAATCATGCAAATGTTTACAACAGTGAACATTTCTTTCTATCACTGTAACACAATAGTTCACTCTCTGGCAATGCATAGTTATATAATTTCTTAAACTGATTAATTTGATAAGAAAAAAAATATTCTAGATATATTTAACTCGAGCTTTAAAAAAAAAAAAAAAAAAAAAAAAAAACAATACTTGAATACATTTCAGTCCAGTGAAATATTAACTAAAATGAATGATTATTTTTAAAAATCAAAAGGCAATTTTTTCTCAGAAATGAAGGAAAGCTGAAAAAAAAAAAAGTTTGTAGAATTTGTTAAAACTATTCGCTTTAAAAAAAAAAAAAAAAAAACTGTCAAAAGAAATCTAATTTTTCACTTTAAGTGCTTACAGACTTTTACTGTGAATAATTAAAAGAAAGTTATAAACAATGAAGGCAGCTCATAATTGCTAAGAAAAATGTTAGTGGGTTAGAAAGATTTGACTTCTGGCTGATGATACTATTGTAGTTGTGGCCATTCCATAACATGTGAAGGGCTGGTCCCATTTAGCCAAATAACAAGTGAGAGGATTTAAAACAAAAGGAAAGCATGGAGGTTGAAGAGGAAGAAAAATACCAAAGAGGAACAACAACAACAACAACAAAAGAAAAAATGTCTTTGATATCCTCTGAGTACATCTGGGGGTAATGTTGTTGGTTGCTTTCATGAAACATTTCTTTATTGATCACTACTCATTGAGAGAAGTGAATTAATAACTGCATTCTTGTTACCTCGTTGGGCTACAAACACAGATTGAATGACATCAGTCTCAATAGCAGGAAACATGTCTTTCACAAGTTGGATATCCTCTTCTGTATAAAGTGGACTTTGTGCAGAGGTTGGAGGCAGTTGTGGCTGTTGATAGACTGGAGCCCCACCAACTGCAAAATAAATAACAATTCCCTGAAATTCATCACTGTATTTTCCTTGTGGCCACTTTAGTAATTATATAATCAGTATGGTTTAAATACTAATTCCTTAATATTCAACAACTTTGGATATTTTCATAGGTTCTTTATTCCAGTTGTACATTTAAATTAAAAAGCAATTTGATTGGAAAATTAAGCAAAATGTTTTTCAATTTTAGCATTCCCTAAACTCACACCCAACAGGAAAGATTAAAATTCTTCAAAATTTAAAATAATATATTTTCACTGCCATTACTTTCTGTATTCAGGTTTGTTTCTAGAATCTATTTAATAATGGCCATCATGCATAGTGAATTTCTTTTATTAAATTGTCCAAGAAAATAATTAATGACAATATTTTTCAAAGTGTATAGAACTGATCCAATCAATACAGAATCATACAGAAAATAGCAACAAAATAAAATTATAGAAATATAAAATTCAACTTGATATTAAAACTGTTTACCAATTTTGCAACAGCTCAAATCCATAAATGCTAAGTGATTAGTAAATAAGGGAAACACAAAACTTGCAATAAATAATGCAATGTAGAAATGAAAAAGAAAAGCTCACCAACAGGCTGCATGGGAGTGTAAAACATTCCAGGGCTAACAACTTGAGGAATAACCATAGCAGGTTGTGGGCACACAAAACTGCCCATTGGAAGGTTTTGAATTGGCTGAAACGATAAACATACAGAGCAATAACATTGAAATCAGATTTTATATTGGAAAAAAAAAAAAAAAAGTCATACAAATTTTATTTTTGAACGTGACACATGACGAGCATTATTTAAGGCCACATTATCATGCAAGAACTGGAGGCCTATTTCAAATCTCATTGTTCCACTAGGAGCAAAGTTTTCATTTTTTTTTTAGTTTGGGTTTACATATAGATTGGCTTATGAAATTTTTGCTTTTTACATCTGGAATGCCTTTAGCTTATTTAATTGAAGTAAGTATAAGATTTATTTATTTTATTTCCTTCAAACTTGCTATATTGTTTTCATTACAAAAATAAAGATAAATGTAATTTGGGAAACTTGGTCTTGTTACTTGGAAATTTATTTAATATTCTTCTCTATGGAATGTTTATTCATGAAAGTAATGATCACTAATGATCAAATTTATTTTTGCTTCATCTATATTTCTATTTATAACAAATGAAAAAGGTATGTTGAATTTTTAGCATGCTTCTTTTACTGAAATTTAACATTTTAATTTTACTCAACTTATTAATCCTATTTTCTCTAGTCTTTCTTGAAAGAAAAATTTGCTTTAATGTTTAATTTTTAGTAAATTTTTCTTCCAAAGACTTTCTTAGGTTCCGTTTTTACACTGCAAAGTTTATTTAAAAATACTATTGTTCCGTTAATTTAACATTTTTCTTTGTGATATTGTTATTCATAAACAAATATATTAACGATAAAATTTAATTTTTATGATTAATTTATGTTTTTCTTTCTAAAAGTTATTTGAAAATAGTATGTTGAATTTTAGTTTAGTTTATTAAAAAACAAAATAGGAGTAAACATGATATTTTATGCTACAAAATTAATAAAAAATCATTAATTAAGAACATTAGTTAAAGTTAATGTCATAATTAAATTCAATAGATTTTTAGGTATTGTAAATAATGTTTACACAATGTTAACCCTAATGTTGTAAAACCATATATCTTTAAGAGTGAAATTTTATTGTCAGTACTTCTATAAACATAAAAATATATTCATGACAAAATACATCAACATAACAACAATTACTTTATTTGTAAACAATAAAATGAAACAAAATCAACAGGAAAGTAACGTTTTCATTTTATTTATGTCATATTTTTGTTTCAGAATTCATAGTTCCAATATGGTTTTAGTTTTGTTAAAACTTTTAATGTGGATAATTAATTTAAAGATTAAAATGAATATAATAAGTCATACACATTTGCTAACGACATGGGAAGAGATGGAGCCAAAGCTCTGCCAAATTACATATTAATTCTAATAATAAAATAACCAAGATAAAGAGGATTAATTATCCAAGACAAATTAATTAAGGCTCTTATTTTTTACTTTTTTTTTTTTTTTTAATTTCTACAGATGCAAACCAAAATTAAAAATCTTTGCTCTCAGTGGAACGACAAGATATGAGATAAACCTCCAGTTCTGGGTGAGAGTTGTGCGATGACATGGCCTTAAATAAAGATTGTCATAGTGTGACAGAAAATACAGGAATTTATATATAATATGCTATAAGTTCCTTTCAGCTAAGTGACTTGGATCAGTGGTTAAAGAAGTCTCACTGTTGAAAAATTTTAGGTTGCTAAAGTTCTTTCATTTCCTACCAGAATCACTTTTCAAAGACAACTTTCTTACATATTAACATATATTCATTATATCCATGAAGTAAATACAGCATCAATCAAAATTCAAATGGGTAGATAGTCAATAATAAATAATGAATATGTTCTCCAAAATATCTGATTTTTTTGTAACACACTACATTAAAGGTTCTAGTCTTAAGTTAACAAGCTTGTCCTGCATACCATTACTACAATAAGTTAATGGGTCACATGATGGTGGCCTTGGACTAGACTAAGTTAAGCTTAGTAAATAATTATCTTGATTACATACTTGATAACAGTTTATACATTTAAACTGACAATTTCTTTTTAATCTTAAAAAAAATTCTCAAGCTGACAAAGTCAATTATTATTCAATCATTTGCTTTTTCTCAGAGACAAAAAAAGACATTCAAATGACAACAAATTGAAAAGGCCTCATCATTCTACAATCAGTTATGCTTATCAAATTCAACAAAATTATTTTAAATGCAATATTGTGTCTATTCAATGCAACATCTAAAAATAGTATTTGAAAACAATTCAAATCTTTGTAAATCAACTTGGCAGTTGGTTCCTATAAAAGCAGAAACTAAAAAAAAATGTTTGTTTCTTCATAGACTATTAATCTGTTTTGTAGGTTTGAATGAAACTAAAATAATTTTAGTACAAAGAATGTCAAATTCATTTTTTTTATATGATGTAGCTAAGAAAAATTCTCCATTTAATAAAATTTTCAGATTATATAGCTGAAGTTTTTAAATAACTGAGAATTACAACCAAAATATTGATTATAGCAAATAGTTCATTAAATACCTGTTCATTTTTCAAACTAAAAACAAATTTAGAAATTTAAAAAATACATTTTATTGAAGAAATATACTAGAAATAATTCAATTCTGAATTAATTTAAAAAAAAAAAAAAAAAATAGTAAAGATTTTTGAAAAAAATTCTATTATTGATATCTAAGCCCTACTGCATGAAATGTTCACCAATTGTTACTACAATTTCTATATTCAAATTAGGTATTTTCAGGTTTCTATTTTAATCAGTTACACAAACTGACTTTGAAGGAATGCTGAAAAATTTTCAGCCAGACCATTTAAAAATAATCTAACATTTGACCATATCCTCATATTATTAATACATAATTAGCATAGCAAAGAAATTAGTGTTGGAATACAGGGGCCAGATTTTTAGCTTGGAGTAAAGATACTCAACTAATTTTAAAAAAATGCAATGTAAGAAGACTCCTGTCAGAATTATACTTACACATTATTTAAATGTACTTAATTAATTGTTCCAGTAAACAAGATGGAAACTAATCAATTTACAAAAGTTCAAGATAATTATTTATAAGGAGATATCTTTAATTTCTAACCTGGTATATTTCTTTTTTCTTTTTTTTTTTTTTTTTAATATGCAACATTTTACACTGAGTTTAGGATTAAATATTTTTAGAATTTTTCTACCTACATCAAATACTGAATTATTGTAATCAGCTACAAATTTATCTCATTTTGATTTATAAAGAATAAAGAACTGATAAAATCATATCGTATAATACTTAGAATGAAGTTTTAATTTCTCTTATGGTCAAAAAATTAAATTAAGCTTTCATGTATAGAGTTGCATATTCATTTGAAGTAACAATGGCCACCAACAAAAATGATAATAAATATAAGTCACTGACTGAGAAATTCAAACTTTATGATCAGGAAGTATAATAAACTAGAAAATGAAAAGTGAAATTAATATTAAAGTTTTATCTATTTTACATAATTTGGGTAACAAAATAAATACAATACAACAATTCAAACCAATCAATTAAAAATTGTCTTCATCAGATAAGTCCTTACTCCCATTTACAAATATTAATAGATATTATGTATATATGAAATATTTATGCAGTATTGCGATATCAGGGATTTTTTAAGTACCAGACCAAAGTGAAAGATTCTTTATTTCCTTGTAGAAATGTGTGAATTTTCCTTGTCACATTTTACTGGTAGAGAACATTGTAAAACACCAAATAAAATTCAGTTGGCTGTAGGAAAAATCATGTCAATATAATAACCTACAAATTGAAAGAGAAATTGATCAGAGTTTAAATCTGTAAATGCATTTAAACAGAAATCTATTTACTCACCATAGAAGAGTAATGAGGCGAAATATATACAACATTGGGCGTAGATCCAGGGTTGTTGCTCATTACAGTTACAGTGTTGTAATTATGGCGATATATACGCATGTTAAGTGTTTTTAATGTGCCAAGTTAAAGAATAAGAGAAAAAAGTAAAACAGAAATAATGTGTATGTACAACAGGAAACAAAAAGAAAGACTAGATTTTGATATAAATGACAACAATGAAACTTTTCAAACAAGGAAGTAGTCAGGTGATATTTGTTGTCACGGTAATAAAAAAAGAAAAATAACATAATATGCACTCAAAAGTGAACACTTATCAGCAAGTTGGTTGTCCAATATACACAAACAATTACTACTACTAATAATAACAACAACAACTTTTATGCTATTGACAATAGGAATTTGAGTTTCTGACAGTAGCAAGAATGTGAATCAACCACTAAATTTGTTTTTTTTTTTACTTAGAAAATGTGACTAACCTAAATGTTACAAATAAAAATAGTAGATAAGAAAAAGATACAAACACTGTTCATATACAACTACAACACTACACCAACAGGGACAAACCCAATCATGACAAACAAATATAACATGGATGACCTTTTTTCTTTTGGAAAACCTTTTCTTCTGAAATGATTCTACTTAAGAAAGCCTACCTCTCTAATGACTAAGCGTCTTTATGCAAACAATATGGGTCACAGTGATGTATCCATTTGTAACCAGTTACTAAGTTATCTCGTATATTCAGGTTCGATTCCTTAAGAACCCTTCAACCTATCTATTTTCTCAGCACTAATTGACTTTCTTAATTAGTTCATTTTCCACATTTAATTCCAATAGTCATTAAATGGAATTAAGCTTTTCTAATGTCTCCTCCTCTCAGTTCTATAGCATAAAATCATTTGTTTGTTGACCAGTCAAGCCACCCACCTCACCAAGCAGAATTATGCTAATAAAAAACTATTAGTACTAACAAGATTAATGTTACCCTTAGAAATCCTATAGATATCTTTCCTGACTAATTACAGAAAAATTGTGAGGTCTGTTTCTATTATTACAAGAACAAATCTATTGGCAAATAATTTGTATTTACATTTTCAGATACAGTTTAAAAAGCAAAAGTCAAGTGTGCCATCAGGAAGAGATGGTCCAATGCAAAAGCCCCTTCATTGATTAGGATTGTAGCCTAGTATCTTTTCTCGGGTTTTCTTTTTGCACTTAAAGAAGAAATAAATACACAACACAAATTTGGAGATGACCTATGTTAAATCCATTAAATCCAGATTATGATGACTTTATAGCATTTTGGTATTTTTTTTTCAGTAATCCAGATTTCAAAAGCTATTTGCAAAGTTATTTAAGCCATATTTTAAGTCTACCTTTTCTTTTTAGAGTGAGGTTCATCCTGTACAAGGCCCAGGAGCCACTCAAGGTAGAGGGTTACAAAGTAAGAGGCACAGTTTATGTGGATAGGTGGGGAAAATAACAGTTATCTCTAGACTTGAACAGATTAAGATTATAGTGATTGGGAAAAACATCCTCTTAGGAGTCATTTCCACAAAGTAGTGGTTCATGGGAAGAAACTGTTCGAGTGGAACAATGGAATATAGAGAGAATGAGGGTGGTTCACTACAATGTGTATAGCATGGCAGGTCCTAGCCGTGAAGGTTAGAACTAGTGGAACTAAGGAATGTAGTTTATCTGAACACTTTCCATGGAAATAGTGACAGAGCAGTGAGAGGCTTGCAACATTTCATTTGTGTGAGAAGGGTTGCAGGGTGGAAAATAATTTGTCACCCACAAGGACATGGAGACACTTTTGGACTATCGAAACTGGAAAGAGAGTGGGCAGCTCCTGCCCATATATGACAGCAGTATTCCATTTTAGGCTTGAACTGGATCTTGTAATGGTAGAGGATTGCACAAGGAGTCAGGTACTTACTGAAGTGATACAAGGAACTGACCATTTTTTCTGCATCTTTAGTGATGGACTGTATGTACAAGTCCCACTGCAGGTCTGGGTTGAGTTTAAGACCCAATAGTTGCTAAAGGCATGGGGCCTTCCTGATGGAACATCCATTCATTGGCTCTGATTGAAGATGATGGAATGTAACTAGTTTGTTTTTCCAGGCACTGAATGTAACCAGCCAGTCTGGTTACCCAAGATGGAGGAGAGATTAGCTGTAAGTCTCTGGTCATTTTGAGTTTTGGAGATGCACCCATTTAACGAATCATCAGTATAGATATTCACAAATGATGAGAGTATACACTTAGGCAGATCATTTATGCAAAATAAAAAAAGGGTTGGTCCAAGAAGTGACCCCTGCATTGATTGTTAGGATCCCAGAGGACTGGCTGTTAACAATTACCTTCAGGGACCTACCTGTTAAGGAAAGACTTTATTATTGAGAAAACACTTCCAGTGATTCCATAGCTAGAGTGCTTGAGCAGCAATCTATTGTGCCACACTTTGTCAAATGCCTTTGAAATCTCTAATGTTATAGTCCTTGAAAATTATTTGTTGTCTAGAGCCTCACTGATTCTGTGAGTAATGGTAGTTAGGACATCAACAGTGGATCAAGCTGATCAAAACCCATAGTGCTTGTCACTAAAGAGGTTGTTCCTATTTAGGTGATCAATAACCTTCTTGCTATTATAACCTAAAAAATCTTGCTAATGACACTAAGGAGATTGATGCGTCTATACTGAGAATAGTGGTATAATAGTCATGTAATAGTTATTCATATTGTTCAAATTTTGGCTGAGTCTGTTTATGTTCATTTTCAAAGAAAGGCATGAATCTATCACTGTAGCAGAAAAAAAAAGCTTTAAACTTTTTGTTTCTTTCCTTGCAAACAATGCCTGCAATCAGTTTCCTCTCAAACACTCTTCTGTCTGTGACAGGTGTAATCTGTTCGACAGTCACCTTGTTCTCCCATTTTTATGTATCATTTACAGCCAAAATTTACATATGCACAAAGATAATCTTGTGAGAGAATATTTGACTCTGGGATCAATCTGTTTAAAATATATAACCTGTGAAGCAGCCATTTCAATTTTTCTTTAGACAGTTTGCACACAAGACACATTCGAATCTTTGTTAGTGCAGGACATAAGTTATTTTATTTAGTGTTTCAAAAAATGCATACACCTTGGTCCTTTTTGCCCTTTGCAGTAAGTAGTTCACTACACTCTCTGCACTTGTCCTATTGTTACAATCCTTGTGCTGATTCTATTGCTTATAACATATGAAACTCAGAATTAAAACAAGTGCCAATCTTTTAAATTATCAATTTTCCATTAACCACAAATCTAATTTCAAACATTCTGATTCTTGTATTTGGACCCATAACATTTTTTTTAAATAATTGTTCCAGGCATTTAACCATTTAAATATTAATGGTCACTGTTGCGGAGCAATGGTTAACAGGCTAGCCTTACTTCATCTTCACTGTGTGCCTCATACTTGTAGCTTTGTACCAGACTAAGTTTCATAAATACCTATCCTGAAGAAAGCTAATGCCACAGACCATTACTGTTGTGGTAAGTTTGATTCTCACTAGGTGTCCTATACTTGTGGCCTTGTGACACATTAAATTAAAAATATCTATACAATTTTAATTTCATTTTGCAACTATATGATTAAGATCTTTTAGCTAATCTTATAATTAGATTTGTCAGCTTAGCATAAGAAATTTCAGGAAGTTGGCACTTAAAATGGATCCTGTTTTACCACTGGATCCATTCCTCTAAGTTAATTTTTCTTGTAATGTTAGGATTATCTTTGAGAGAGAGGCTTTTTTCTTTTTTTTTTATTGGTTTCCGAGTTTCTCAAATAGTTACTGATTTATAATGGCAAATTGTTAATTTTATTAATAAACTATAATATGCAATAAGATTCCATTTTTTTTCTTTCTTTTTCAGTAAGAAGCATTTTAAATACATATATTGAAAATAACTTTAAAAAAATCTTTTCACAGAACTAACGTTTTTTAATTGTATAAAATATGAAAACTTTTTATTGATAAAGAAACAATTTTTAAAAATAAGACCAGAAAATCAATTTCAAAACAAATTTAAAATTGTCTGTCTGTACAGAATCTCATTTCTCAACAAAATGGCTTTGTTTCTCTCATCAATGTTCAGATTTGAAAAAAAAAAAAAAAAAAAAAAAAAAAAAAAAAATCCAAAGATTGGAGAGATGAGAAAAAATATTTTTCAGCAAAAACAAAAAAAATCTTCAAAAGTTCCATAAATGAGAGAAAGAGAGAAAAGTGAAAGAACATGTGATTGAAATCAATGTAACTATGAGTCATGATTCAGTTATGACACATTCACTCAAATAAAAACATATTGCTTATCTAGTTTCTATATTTATATGGTTGCCCTTTAGATCAATGTCTTTCTTCTGCCATGTTCAAACATCGTCAAAATCTTGTAGAACAAAACAGACCTCAATTGCAAAAAAGAATGTTAAAAATCCCCAAAATGTATACAAATATTTGATATCTCTAAATGATAATTGAATGGAAACAATGAGATTCTTCAGTCTGAGTTTGTCACAATTATTTTCTAGTACAATTTTACAAAACATACATTTATGGATATTGAAATTGTTTTTACACAGAAAAAAAAGAAGACCTTAAACAAAAATAGGAAAGAAAGTATTTTAGGAGAGAATTAACCAATATAAGTTGGTAGCAGTCAAAACTACATTTTTGCTCAATCCATCCCTTAAAAACTGAAATCTTTATCAAATGATACCAAAAAGTATAGAAATGCTTTTTAACTTTAAATATGTAAATAAATATTGGGATGATAACACTGGGAAATAAAATTAACACAAAATATTGTCTTTATTTCTTTAAACCATGAATAACCTGTTTTCATGTATCTTACACATTTGAACATTAAGCTAATTTTCCACTTAATTAAATATTCATTAAGTTATACATTTTACAAAATTTAATTTAAGAGTAAGTCCTTCACTTTTATTCAGCAATTCTAACATTTAAACTTTTGAAGATAGGGAGCAAATCTGGACTTAGTTCATTAGAGTTTGTACTTGACATTTTTTCATAAGTTATTTCATTCATCTATAAAAAGACATTTTCAAATTATATTTCTTTTAATAATCTCTTTTTATAGGTATTGATTATAATTAAAAATTGCAATCGTTAGAAACTGAAAGAGGGAATTATATAAAATTTACAAGGAATCCTACTTATATACAATACACTTCTAGAAAAGAATATTTCATTAATTACAAGAATATAGACAATTTACAAGTTAGGTTCTACAGTGGCTTTACTGTTATAATTTTAATATGAAAGAATCTAGAAAACAACAAATATCAGTACCAAATATAAAGGTTGCTTATTTTAATCACATACATTATTTTTTTTATAACATTAGACACAAGAACATGCAAACATTATCCAGCTAAAAAATCATTTTTGTTAAAAAATAGTTTCTTGCAATGTGGGCAGAAAGAGAATGAATTGTTCTTAACTGGAATGAAAAAAAAAAACCCTAAGAAGAGAGAAAGACAAACATGCAAAAAGTAATAATAGCAAGCATGTGTAAAATAGCAGCACTCACTGTGAAAGTTAATACAAGGTTGATCATGCCTTCTTTTTCTTCTCCTTGTCGTCCACTGAGTGGATACCAATCATCTAATGTTTCTCCATTAAGTACAGATTGGGGCACTGTGATATGACACCAAGCAATACGGTCATCAACTGTAAAGGATCGCTGAAAGAAAAAAATTTTGTCTTCAGATTTATTCAATTTGAATATTTTTCACAGCATTTTATAATGTCTAAATAAAAAAGACCATTAAGACCAAAAAAAAAAAAAAAAAAAAAATGCAACATTTTAGTGTAAATAAATATTTTTTTATTTTTTTTTTAGCTTCAATTGAACAAAAATACTAGAATTAGAAAGTTCAGGAATGTGACATTGTTTCATTAGAACATGATTATTACAATAGTGTTTATCTCCACACACATAGATGTAAACAAAGAAAATTAATAAAAATCAACCAGTAATATGACTGAAACCCAATTCAGTTGTGAACAACTAAGTACATTAATGTATTTACTTATATACTTTATATACACAAATATACAAGTGAAATAATTGCACTGAAATAATTCCAATGTTTTTCACATGATGGTCATTGAAATTATTTCTATATTTTAAAAACTTAATTTTTACTAAATTATTTTTTTTCATTAAGACATTCAAAGATTGTATATAAGTGATCAATTTCTGTTTACCAACCTATTTACTTTTAGCTATTTACTTGTATGAAAAAATAACCCATTTTTACACAAGATGATAGTCTACAAACAAATATTACTGTTGAAATTATCAAAATGATAAAACTTCTTTTGTACTACTATCTCTCTCACAAAATTGTCTTTATCTATTTGGACAATTTGTTCATTTTTTAACCTTGATATGTTTCACTGATGATTCAGCATCATTATCAGAAGAAAAGAAAATGATAGAATATCAACAAAATGTTAAGTAAAAAAAAAAAAAAAATAATCAAAACTGTTATATATTTCCCATTCCATTAGATTCTCATCCCACTTGACTCACTCACACACACATGTAGACAAGCATAAAAGAAAATGCTGTAAGATCTCAACCAAAGAAGGGATTCCAAATGTGCTCCTGAATCATCTGTTATCACTAAACTCTAATAACAAATCCTTTGCTGATTTTTGCTTTCCAGCTTGTTAGAAATCCTCTTCAGTAGTACCTGCTTTTAAGAACCTGAGTGAGCCATTTGATCCTTTGAATTATTGCCCTATTAGTCTTCTACCTTTTTGGCAAAGTACTAGAGGCTCTAATCAACTCCACATTAGTTAAACATCTAACTTCACATGTCTTCTTTCAGACAAAAAATACAGCTTTCACATCTCCGAGTCAAATGCCAACAACAGTTATTACTGGAAAAGTCTGTCACGCTTTAAATAAGAGTGAAGCTCGGGCTGTGGCTTCAGTTATCTCAAACATATTTGACAGGGTTTGACATGCTGGTCTTCTTCACAAGCTATGGTCTATCCAGATGAATTTCTGATTTGGTCCAATTTATATTGTCAAATCATGTAATGAAAGTCATGTTGAACAGCCATTTTTCTAAATCCTTTCACATTAATGCAGGTGTTCCCCAGAGCTCTACCCTTGAGTCTACTCTGTTTCTTATCTGCACCGTCCAATAGGTTTGATAAAGTAAAACTGGCAGCTGACCTTGAAAATGGCCTTCAATCAGCAATCTGAGGAAAGAAATAGCTTGTTAAGTTTAATGCCTCCAAAATGAAACTTATCTTTTAGTTATTTTAGAGAACCATTTTTGCCTTCCATCAGTATGGCTGATGCTAACTTCTAAGTAAATCATTGCACCATGTCAATCTCATTTTTTTTCCCACTGGCATAAAATGGAATGATTTTATTGAATCAATTGATAGATCTGGTGCTGAGAAAGTTGGTTCACTGTATTATGCTAGAAAATTTTTCTTGCCAGAATCTATCTTACACATTTATAAATCTACCATTTGTCTGTGCATTGAATATTGCTGCTATATCTGATCTGGAGCTCCTGCTATATATCTTGAGGTTCTTGACAAAATCCAAAGAAGGGTCTGCAATGTTCTGACATGTCAAATTTAGTCACTTTTCCACCACCATAACATGCCTTCCCTGTGTCTTTTCTATAAATATTTTCATGTCAATTGTTCTAATGAACTTTCCTGTTTGGTTCCTTATGAATTTAAATGTAGTACTAGATTGGCAATTAAGTCTCATCATTTTTCTGTTGAAATAGTTAAATGTAACCATAAATTCTATGCTAACAATTTCTTGCACTTCTCGCCTCTTGCTTTCCAGTCATACTATGATCTTCAAAAGTTTAAATGCAACATCAATGTTATGTGTTTCAGAATCCTGTTCTTTTATTGTCTTTTCTCCTACCATATTATCATTTTCTTTCTCTCAGCAAACTTTTGCATCTTAGTGGTATTATCATCTTGCTCGGAGGTGAAATGATTAAAAATTAATACAGGAAAATAAATTCTGATGTTTGGTTATTAAGTCAGAATTTGGCAAGTGGGATGGGCTGAGAACTTTTCAGCATTCTTGTGTGTGTGTGCGCGCGCGCGCACACACACACACACACACACGACAGGCAAGTTTAGAGATGCGCTGCATTTCTTTAAAAACATTTTAAAACGAAATATTTTTGTATTTTTTTTTAAAGTAAAAGATAAGATTTCATCTATAGTATTTGTTTTCATTTGGATAAAAAATAATCACTTAGCTATAAAAAAATTATCATACAACACCACCATATTTTATTTTCATTAATAAAACCATCTGACTTAAATACAGCTTTATAAATTCTTGGCATACTTTCCAACAGTTTTTTGAAAAAAAAAATATAGATGATGGCAGACCTTCCCAAATATTCTTCAAGCACTAAAAAGAACACCAACTGGTTTTATTGGCCGAGCATTTTTTCATTCATCGACAACTGGGAGAGGATGCCAAATTTTTCCATATCAAAATACTTTTATAGAGACTACTTCGACGGACTTGTTTTTAATCTAAATATTCCATCTTCAGTATGTCATGCTGAATACATGCCCTTTGGGTAAGTAATTTTCTTTTCCGTTGTACGATACATGCGATGAACTGTCACTTGGTTTGACAAGGTAAGTTGCTGTTTTCTTCACTATACTCCCCGCTGATCTCATTATCACAACTTGAACAGCTTTGAGCAGCTCTCTTTATCCTGGTGCTTCGTCACAATGGAACCATCTCCCTTATGCGTGTCGGAGAGTCATCTCCTGAGGAATCATCAGATATATCTCGAGTTTCTGGTATCTCTGTGTCTGTGGAAGCATCAGATTCGCAGATCTCAATTATCCGATCACTGTCAGATGTTGAACCATCATCGGATTCGCTCGGCGATGTATCAGAATCAACAAAAAGGTGAAGAACTTTTACATGCCATGGCATCCCTTCGACTATTATTGTTTGTGGACTTACAAAGTCCGTCACGCGACCCACTTGATATCTGGAGGTACACTGGCCATGGGGAGCTTTCACTCATACTCTGTTCCCAACTTTGTATATATCGTGATACTTACAATGATCAGGTGGTAATGTTGTAGCAATTCCCTTCACTTTCAGTCAGTAACGGTGAATCATATTGGCAGGTGCATTAGTCGACGATATATCATCTTTCAGCGTGATATTATGCCAGTATACTGCCTCCATTATCAAACACTGCTTTCTTGCTGCAATCCTCTTTATGCTCCAATGAGATCTTTCTACAATAACGTTTCCTGCAGGAACATAGGCAAAGTGAAAACGAAATTGGACTCCCCAGTCATCCAAGAAATCTTTAAAGGACTTACTGCAAAATGCAGTATCATTGTCATTCAGGATTTATGATGGTGGGCCTCGTTCAAAAAGAATATTTTCCAACTGTCAAATGACACTTCTTGAGTCTTGTTGAAGCAGGCGTCACCATATTGCAAATTGACTGGGGCCGCAATCAATTAACATAAGGTAGTATTGCCCACCAGTTTTCCACACCACAAGAAGATGTTACGTCATGTCAGTACCTCAGGAACTGATGGAATGCCATTTCCACATAAGTGTGTTGTTATTTTGCTTGACATGCAAACCCAGCACACATGTGCCGTCCCGTTTCATGTGCTATTTGATAAACTATTTACTATTCTTTAGAATAGAAACAATAACAATATTACTAATTCAGAAAATTAAATGGTGATTAATTTGCATTAATAATCACAACAATAAACATATTTAAAAATAAGATCCTTTAAAATTGAGTTGATAGTAAGTTACTTACTTCATCAAATATTTCAAGGTACATACTGTCCACACCAACAGGAAGATAACTATAAATATAAAAAAAATATTAGAGTTAATTTAATAAGTAGAATAAAAATGAAAGAAAAAACAAATTGTAATAATGAAGAAAGAAATGAAAATTAGGTTTTAAATTACATCTTTATAAGAACTAAAAATTTATTTTGCAAACATTATTTTTTAGAATGTTTAATAGAAAATTTTTTATCAAATTTATATGAAGGTGAATCCATAAATTTGCAATTCAATATTATGAGCTGAGTTTAATCTGAAATTTTCACTGCATAATGTTCAATCTATGTAATTAATATTAATCACTGAATTGTGCATTAACAAGGTGATGTTAAAGAATTAATATTTGCTGTATAGAATAAATATTTTTTTCATCATTAGGCTACAGACTTATTACTATACCAATGTATGTTCATTACTGATTAATTAAAAATATTTTCTTTGCTGTATTTTCATTGTGAGTTTGTAATAATTTATTTTCCCAGACAACACACTGTTCAAAATTTCAAAGTTCTCAGTTTTCATAAAAGGAAAAATTATGTTATCATCTAGTGTAAAAATGTATTACTTTTCATTGGTCTCTCTCTCAAACATTTTAACCCATTAAATTTAGATGACAAGAATTTCAGTCATTGCTGTTCTATGACTCAACTGCAAATGATGAAAATATCTGTTTTATTGCAATTAATAGAAATTCATTTTTAGTCAGGCATCAAACAAACATTCCTTCTTCCAACCAGTCAGTATCCAGAAGCTATTTCGTCAGAGGATTTTTTGATATTTTTTTCTTCCCTCAAATCACTTTCCAAACTTTAATTCTGTAAAAGAAGGTAAACTTACTTTGAAATTACAACAATGAATTCTTCTAAATAAATATTTTTATACTAGTTTTTTTTTTAATTTTTCTCAAAACCATTTTTTTTTTTTTTTTAGCAAGGTTTCATTTTTAATCTACTTAAAATTATATTAAATTAATTAAAAACATATAGATTTTTCACTTACTGCTTGTAAAATTAAAATTATTGTTACATATATGAAATGGTGACTGAGATGCTCAGTCACAGTTAATGAAAGGAAAAAAAAATAAAAGAAAAATTTACTTACCACTGAACACATTTATTCCAACGAGGGATTTTGGCACCATTGTAAGAAGTAGGAGTTTCAAATACAGCATGACCAACTCGAATTCGGCAGTAGGGATCCATTTTTGTGATTCCATAGTTTTTGGTCAATTTAGCCTGTGAATAAAATTCATGTTTTAATACTCATTCATACAAAATGCAATTTTGTTTTTAATTAAATAAAATGGGCAATCATTTTCTGACCATATAAAAAAAGAAATCAACATTTACATACGATCAAAAAATGATAAGTACAAAATCTGAGGTCAAGTTGGATTTTTTTTCTTAACAAAATACTGTTCAAACTCAAAGAATTCTTAAACTAAACTAACCTGTTTCATAAGATTAATGATTTAAAAAAATGTTGACAAATAATTTTAGTAGTAAAGTGGTAAGAAACAGTTTTAGAGTAAATTTGAAATCTATTAACTAGGACCTTTCTATCCAATCCAATAAATACCAGCGGAAAAGAGAAAATCAGTTACAGATCTGGTATATCTACCTTTGCTTTTGAATAGAGTATTATGAACAAAAAAAAATAAATGAAAAATAATTAAAAATTTATAATTCCCAGCATTTCTCATTTATGCACATGTTTAATCACACATATTTCCCCCCAATAGAATATTATAAAAAGTTGCCATCATGTAACCCATTTGGCTAAAGTTAAATAATTAAGAGAATATAATTTTCTTGCATTTATATACAGGCCATTGAAAGAAATCGGATAGATGACATTTTTATTAAAGACTATTCTTTTGTCATGTTTTATGGATGTAAATAGAACAGAAATGCAGTCATTCTCTTTCTCCCTATGAGAGTCAACTGTTATAATTATCAATATTTATACATTTCAGATTAAACTCAGGGCCAGAACATTTAATAAAAAAAAAAAAAAAAAATCAAGTAGATAAAGGAATTATGGATTACAGAAATGGAATGTAACTGTAATAGGATTCAAGTTTATCATACTGACCGTAACAATTGTTATGCTTAATCGTCCTGCAATATTACCAGTTACAAATGACACACCGGCCTGTTGTTGTGCTTGTAAAATCTGGGCAACTCGTTCATCCTGGGCAATCTGTTGAGCTGTTGGATCGGAGGAGACTCGAAGGAAATCATCAGGTAAGTCACCAACCATAACCTGCAAAAAAAAAAAAAAAAAAAAAAAAGAAAATCAAGAAAATAAAACATTTTAATTCAATTTCAAAAAGGTAAAAAATATGTCAAATCTTATGATGAAAATATAATTGAAGTTTAACACAGAGATGTTCTTTGAAAAAGTGAGGGAACTAGCAAATTCTATGAGACTATTTGCACAGAGATGAAAATGAAAATGCCATTAGCAATGGATAGGGGACAATATGGGCTCAAATCGATAACAACAAAGAGTAGAGTATAAGCAGTAGAATTTGAATAAAACTCATCAAATTTACACCAAGAGAAAAAAAAAAATCTCACATGGTCCTGAATATACAATGGTGTAAAAGATCCAATCTAATTATAAAAACTTATTTCTGATTCCTCACTGAATAATGACAGTATGAGTAGTTGCAATGAAAAGAAACCAAAATTAAGATTAGAAAGAAATACTAACCAAAATTTAGATTTGCTTATGAAAAAGCCTAGTTTAATTTCATTTGCTAGATTGGTGGGACTGTAACTCCATAAGTTACAAAAGAAAAAAAATAGATAATTAAGCCCCTATCTTAATAATATGGTATTTGTAAAATCCACATTATAATTAAGTACTAATATTAGAAGAAAGCATCTGTCATCACGTCAGCACTGGAGGTGTTTTTATTTATTTATTTTTTTTTTGCTCATCACAAAGATATGTTCCTAATTATGTTAGTGGACATAATTATATATTTTATAATATCCAGTTTAATGGAAGACAAATTTTTCAAATTCAATCATCTAAATTTTCACCTTGGTTTATAAAGTTTTAGAAGGACACAAAATGACATCAGCAAAGAGAAATAATATAAAATAGACAACTAGATTTAATGATTTTTATATACAAACTTTCACTAGCAAATCTGATATATCAAAAACAGAAACTCAAGTACACAGATGTATGTACAACCACAACTTATAATGGATAGGTGAATAAGTTTATTTATGATAGCTATTCAACCTTGAAGTATAGAATTGTGAAACCACTGTTGGTTAAGAACACAGTAACATGAGGATGGGTTGAATCATATTTTGAATTTTTTTTTAATTCACAAACAAGTTATTCAATATACACTGAAAGAAAATAAAATTGCAACATCCTGAAAGTCAATGCCAATTTTGAACTGGGTACAGGATGTGATTGCCAGGGAGTAATATTTTGGTGTTTGGTCACCTTGTAATATATCAATAATACTCATACATGCCAACCATCCGTATCTGAGCTTTAGACAATGACACATGCTGCAATAGGGTTCAGTGTTGTAAAAGAGTCCAATGTAAACAAGTACCATGCCATGTAGATGCACACATGTTCTTTTCATTAAATTAGAGACTTTTCAGAGGGGTAAGATTGTTGGCCTTTGAGAGGCTGGATGGTCATTTCAGTAAATCGTAGTGCATGTTGGATATATAACATGTTGGTGGGGCTTTGATGCTAGCTACAGTGGTCAAATGAACATTCCAATATCTACTGGTCTTTTCTTTTTTTTACCATGATGTTCACACTGTACAAGGTCTAAGAGCTACTTGAGGTAGAGGGTTATGGAGTAAGAGGCACAGTCTGTGGGAAGATAACAGTTAACACTAGACTTGAACAGGTTAATAAGACTGTAGTGATTGATGAAGCATCTACTTGGGAGTCAGTTTCCCAAAGCAGCAGTTCATGGGAAGAAACTGTTTACACCTCACTAATGGAGTATGTAGGGAATGAGGGTGTTTCGCTGCAATGGGCGTGGCATAGTGGGTCTTAGCCATGAAGGTTAGAACTATTGGAACTAAGGAACGTAATTCATCTGAACACTTTCTATGGAAATAGCGATAAAGCAGCAAGAGGCTTGTGACATTTTTTCTGAGAAGGGGGTTGTAAGGTGGAAAATAATTTGTCACCCTCAAGGATACAGAGATGCTTTTGAACTCTAAAAAGACTGGGAAGTGAACAGTTTCTGCTCATATATAGCAACAGTATTCCAATTTTGGCCTGATCTGGCTCTTTTAAGGTAGAGAATAGCAGTTGGAGTCCAGTACTTACTGGAGTGGTACAGGAAACCAACCATTTTTCCAGCATCTTTAGCAATGGATTGTATGTACAAGTTCTACTTGATGTCCGAGTCCCAATAGGCACACAAGGCACAGGGCCTTCCTCAGGGAACATCTGTTCATCTGATCAGCGATGATGAAATGCTACTGGTTAACATGATTTATACATTGTAAGGACAGCAGATTCAAATCACATGGTCTCCACAGCAAAGATCAATAGAAAATGTCAAGTGTCAATGCAGACTATTGAGAATAATTTACTTGCAGAAGGACAACAGGCATGCGTGCCTCAAGCAAGACTTCTACTTATGCCACACCATAATACTCATTTCCAGTGTTGTCAAGAGAGAGTCACCTGAGGAATTAAATGGTGCTTTGTAATATTCAGAGATGAGAAAAGGTTCTGCCTTCATGCAAGTAATGGTCATTTGCATTTGCAACAGACCTGGGGAGTGACATGTATTAGTCTATGACAGGTCCAACACCTGGCGTCATAGTGTAGGAGCCATAAGTTACAACTCTTTGCTTACCTTTGGTGTTTGTGGAGGGGATGTTGAAAAGTGCCATGTACATCCACAATATTGTTCAGCCCAATCTGATTTGATTCCAGAAACAGAAAGGTGATGTAATCTTCTAGTAGGATAATGTCTGCTTTTATGATGCCTATACTATTCAACATGGTTAAACAACTTCTCTGGCTGACATAATTGATAGACCTGTGTTGTAGAATGGTTTCATAGTGGAGGCTTGTATTTGTACTAAGTCGGTCCTAAAATAGGTTTGACGTACAAAACGTTAGAAACTTGATATAATAGGTAATGACGCAGTATCCAACTAACGGTCGTCCGGCATCGACTGACTGATCAACACCCTGAGCGACTGCTACTACTCCTACTTATTATAGGTGGGAGAGTCTATTAACTATAGAATAGGTGTGTTCCACTATAACAACCTGTACCCTATTAAATATGTAAGATGGGATGACAGCTGACTCAGCCCACCTATAATTCTTACTGTATTGCATCAATAGGTGCAAGAAACATGGCATAATAGGAGAGCATTCAGCATCTATGTAATTGTATGCATGCAAAAGTACAGGCCTATGTTAATCACCATGGATATACAATGTATTAATATAACGCCTGATTACTTATTTTCAAACCTGTCATTTGCATTGACCTGTATATGTGATCATTTACTGTAATCCAATTATGTTACCCGTAAGTTTAATCTTAGGTAAATTTAAATATATATTCAAGGGATTGCATTTTTATTTTCTATCACTTTATATACACATTTGTAGAGATTCTTCATATATTATTCAATGATCAGGAATGTATGTTAAGACGTGGTTTAATGTGTTAAAAACAATTTGTATTCTACAAGGTAGCCAAAAAAGTCCTTGCTATTTTTGATTTATTAGAAAAACAAAAAGGTATACAATAAATTTAACAAACCATTAGTCTTCAAATTAATCCCAATTGGCATCTTGAACCTTTTGCCAACATGCCTCCAACTGCATAATGCCTTGGTAGTCAAAATCAGGCGTCTTGGATGCAAAGAGGTCCAAGTGACTGCCACAAGTCTGCCTCATTTGTAAAGGATTTCCCATGAAAGTGTTTGTCGATGGAATGGAAGAGGTGGTAATCTGTTGGTCTGGGGAGTAAGGTGGATGGATAGTACGGTGTCTCCCAGCCAAGTCACCGTATGGTATTACTTGCCACCCATGCCACATAAGGCCTGGTATTGTCATGGAGAAACAATACACCCTTGCAATTAACCAATGCTGGCTCCTGCTTGTATACCTGTTGCACATGTTCCAACTGCTGCGAGTGTAGGTCTGCAGTGATGGTTTGGTCTGTTGGTAGCAGCACATAGTGCACTACTTGTCAACTAGTCCACCAGATACAGAGCATGATCTTGTGTGGGTCTAGTAGTGGGATACCCACTTGCTCAACTTGTATGCCTTCCCTATGCGGTGCAGGTGAAGACTGATTGTTTCATCAGAAACCTGGAAGCACTAGGCAAGCTCAACACATGTTTGGTTGTTGTCCTCCTCTATGGCCACCTTCAAGGCCTCATGATCCAGGACCTGTAGCCAGTCACTGTGGGGTTCATCACAAAGAAAGATCTTCTGACCTAAACTTCTGGAACCAATGCCTGGTTGTGTGTTCAGTCACAACATTATCCCCAAAGACTTGATATATTCAACAACTTGATATGGCTGCACATTAAAGTCATAAATCAGAAAACACCAAACATGCTGCTTCGACATTGCTATGTTTTGTTGCAGCTGCTCGAGCTATGACTAATGCATGTGTACAACATACCTGCATTAATCAAAAGCAATGCCCCCAAACCCCCACTACATGATGCACTCATTTGCTTATCAGTGATCACTTGTTCTTAAACCATTTAATATAACACTTATTTGGTATTATAAAACCTGGGATATGACTATTTATTTGAAATATGAAAATAATAGAAATTCCTAGTTAGAAAGCTATTTACCAGATTTCTTTGAACAATACATTTGCTGGTATTAAATGGTTTTATAGATTATATTAATAGGTATAAAATCTACTGGTAATTGAACTAAATCTAAAAAATATTAAGAAAAAAAAAACAATATCTAAATCCCAGACACAACAACAAATATAAAGTTAAATTACTTAATAAATATTTTCTTATTCAAACAATGGATCAATGTAAAGTTAGGCAAAGAAGTATATGAAAACTGATTATTCAAATTATTAGAAAACAGTGGGAATATGGTGTAATATCTAGGACTAATTTAGACATCTCTTCAAAGTTGTAAATTGATGATATAGAGATAATTTAGAGAATTATTTTAAGTTTTCAGACAAGTCTTAATCTAAAAAGTATATTCATACAAAACAATGTTCACTTTTATATTTACATATGCTC